GACTGCTATCCAATTAGTTAAAAATTTGGCAAAAGTGATAAAAAAAACAATATTTTATCTGTTTTTGAGAAAGTTCGTCGGAACGACTTCACTTTTCCTCTAATTCACTCCTTTTTCGCCTTTTTCCCAGTAATCCCACTAATAATTTCAAAGGAAATTTCAAACCTCTTAAAATAGCAAGGAATATATTCACTAAACAATAAATTCTCCTTCGCTTGGAGTATAAACACTCACTACTTTCCGGTAAACCTTAAAATTATTCTCTTTCTCCTCAAACTCTATCTCAACTTCTCTAATATTCTCTCAATTATTTACTAAACTATCCCAACCGTCTTTAACTGTTCCCTCAAAACAAAAATAAGCCTCATCCAAATTCTCGTTATTTACAATTAGATAGTAAGGTTTAAAGTTCTTATCTTCTAACTTTTTTACAGTAATATTCTTTAAATTTAAGGTTGGCATATTTAATAATTTTAGGTGTCATTCTCTTTATTCTCCTGTGAGGAATGCGAGAGAAAGTATAAAAATAATTTTTTTTGCTTCTTTTTTTTTATTAGACAATAGGGGGTGGTAAATACTATAAAATTACTATATAAATAGGTTGAAAAGGTTAGAGATATAGATTTAACAGAGAAAATAAACATGAAAGGAAACTGAAAAGATTATCAAAAGAAAAAGTCCCTATTTAAGAGTTATTATTGTGCTGGTTGTAAGCAGAGAAAACCCTGTCAACTACTAACGGGCTGAGATAGTGAGTGAAAAAGTTATTGTTGTGCTTGCTTTTATCAGATAGAACAAACAAGAGCAGATGAGTATAATTCTTATGAAAGGGTTCTAAAAAGCAAGCAAAAAGAGCGGGGAATTAGAATTAAGCAAGATCAGTTATTAAAGAATTATTTAGGTTGTAAAAACTGCGGAAGTAAAGAAGTGGATGCTTATAATTTGTATGAAAATAACCAATTAGCTTGTCAACCTTGCCTAATGAGAAAAGAGGGCGGGAGTAGCAGTCCCATTAGTTTAACGGAACGGCAAAAATGGTATAAAAAGCATTGGAAAGTAGACTTAGCCGAATGACTAGAAAATTATGGTTGTTTACCAGTCAATGCTGAATGTGCGAGGGAATGGTTAAAGGATAGAAATCACCTGAATAATTGTCAGTGTTTAGAGCAAGAGGCAAAAGATAGTTATTTATTGTTCGCTAACTCATTAAGAGAAAAGCAGGAGAAATTAAAAAAGTGTCAATGTGAAGTAAGCGACAAGCCCCGAACCCCTTATTATGACAGTGCTAATTATGGTTATGCTTACTGCGAGAAGTGCGAAACAAGGATAGCAGGGGCAGGGAAGCATGGAGTAGTTAAGAATAGAAACGACCCGAGATTTTGAGGGTTAGAAGTAAAAGAAAGGGTGCTATGCGGGAATTGTTTAGGGAAATTAGTAGAGCAAATGCCCGCTAATAAGAAATATACCTTTAATAAATATCTAAGAAGAGGGTATTGGAGCGAAAACTAAATGCCAACCCTAAGCGAGAGAATTACCAAAAGAACAAGGAGAAAGTAAAAACCCAGCAA